ATGTTGAAATCAACCGACACGACGGAGATAGAAGAAATTTAGCCGCTATAATGCTCTACCAAACTGCTATAACGACATTCAGTCTTGAACAAAGTAATCAATTAATTCAAAACACATGCGAAAAAACTTTTAGGATTTTCAGCATAATATACTGAGGGTTATAAAAAAGCAGAAAGCATGAAGAGTAAACTTAGGGTAATCACGGCTCTCAAGAACTACTCAGTTAAGAACTAAGCCTCAAATATACTAAACTAGAAAACCATCAATTCCTTTCGCATTACAAAGTAAGAAATGAATAGGCAATATGCATTGGCAATCCTATTACCGACCTAACGAATACTCAGATATTCTCACGATATTTTTTATCGCTCGAAAAAACTGTATAACTAAATTTCAAAACTCTTTTTATGAGAAATTAAGTACCTTAAAGAAAAAAGCCATAATAGAAAAAATGCTTAAAGTTGCAATTCATTGTTATGTTAAGTCAGGAGAATAACCCTTCATTAAAAAAAAAAATTCTTTTTAGTGTTCAACATTATTTAAAAATTTATTCTGGTAAAGTGAAGGATATATATCAGCATAAATACCCCTGTGTCATACTCCCCCCAAAAAAAACTTTTTTAAATTTAGAAATTACTTTATTAATCGGACACGAACTCTCGAAAGTTGGCTGGATGCTAACAACATGGTCAGAGTCCTGAAGCTCTGCTGTCGTTGCACTAAGCGTATAAAGTGAATTGCAGGAAAGAAGTCGAGGACTTGAACGTTTTGTTTCCTCTGCTGTTAAATTATAAGTCCTTTGTAAAACGCACCTTAAAGCACACATCTGAAGTTGAAAAAAATCTCACAAAAGCCAATGCTCGATTGCTTCATATATAGACAAACTTGTTACAAACTCCAGAATTTGAATGGCCACAGTCTGGAGAAAGTTTTGAGTGCATAACCAAAATAAGAATAAAGTAAGGTCACCATCTACAGGTACACTACGGAACATGAGCAAATTCTATTCCGGGGGACCTTCCTAAGAACGGAGAAGAAGAACATTGCAAATCGCCTAGAAAAAACAGTTACAATACAAAAGTAATTTAATGTAAGTACACTCCACTAGCAAACAGTATGTTAATAAAAAACGTTGGGAACACCGAATAGTTAAACAGCAAAACAATTT